GCAAAACAAAACAAAACAAAACAAAACTAGGAATTAACCAAAGAAGTGAAGGACCTCTATGATGAAAAATTTAAAAACCTGAAAAAAGAAATTAAAGCAGAACTAATGAAAAACCTCCCACACTCCTGGATTGGGAGGATGAACATTGTGAAATGGCAATACTGCCAAAGGCTATCTACAAATTCAATGTGATACCCATCAATATCCCAACATCATTCTTTAATGAAATAGAGGAAGCAATCCAAAAATTCACATGAAATAATAAACCTTGAATAGCAAAACAATACTTAGCAGAAAGAACAGTGCTGGAGGAATATCAATACCAAACCTCAAACTCTATTACAAAGATATAGTATTCCAAACTCCTTGGTACCTGACATCCAATGGAATAGAACCGAAAACCCAGAAATGAACCCGCAGACCTATAGCACCTAATCTTTGATAAGGGAGCCAAAATATAGGATGGAAGAAAGACAGCATCTTCAGTAAATGGTGCTGGCAAAATTGGTTAAACACCTATAGAAAACTAAGGTTAGATCCTTATATATCACCCTGCACCAGAATCAACTTCAAATGGATCAAAGGCTTTGAGGTAAAAGCAGATACCCTGAAAACACTACAGGAAGGAATAGGAGACACTCTAAGGTTCCTTGGCACAGGCTAAAATTTTCTTAATAAAGATCCAGAAACACAACAAATCAAAGAAATTTGGACAAATGGGATTGCATGAAACAGCAGAGTTTCTGCATGGCAAAGGACATAGCTAGTAAGATCAATAGGAAGCCCACGGATTGGGAGAAGATCTTCACTAGCCATATAAAGGACAAGGGTCTCATATCTAAAATGTACTAGAACTCAAAAAATTAAATCCCCCCAAAACAAATCCTCAAAGAAACAACCGCCCCATTAATAAGTGGACTAAAGACTTAACGATAGGCCTATGTGAATGTCTACTTTTCTCACATCTCCAGAAAAGGTTGGGTTCAATCTTTGGTTTGCATGGGTGACTACATTTCTGGGAAGGGGTAGCCTATATCTCTAAGAGCAGGCTTAGAGCAGGCCGAGGGCATGCCTCAGTATTGTTTAACCCAAGAAGGCTGAGATTCACACCAGTAGGGGAGGATTATTTTGCATCAAGTTCAGGCAAGGGCAAAGTTAGTAATATGGAGTTAAGGAACTAGAGACAGATGGGGCAATGAAGGAACCAGGTGTCTTCTTCTATCTTTATTGGTCAGCGTGTAATCTTTCCAGCTTTAAAATCTATGCGCCACATAGACACACACGTGGACCATTGTAAAACCAGCTGCAGGTGTTGTTATGTCTTAGAAATCTTAGACAGTGATTATTTTTACAGATGTGTCCATCAGCTGGAAAGGGCACAAATGAGACTTGATGTTTTGTAGCCGTTATACAACCTTTAGCTCTCAGATAAAAAAGGAAAACAAAACAATAGCTTTAATCTCTTTTCTAAAATGTCATTAGGAGGTCACAAGAGAAGTGGTCATTCTTTAAGACCCCAAATATGAGAATGACCTTTAATTTGGAGACAGGAGGTTAGACTTGAAAGGGAAAGAAAGAGACAGAGGGTCTCTTAAGGGTGGTCCAATACTGAAAGCCTACATGTTGTTTCAGGCAGTTTTTTTTACCAGCCCCAGTATCATTTCCTTTAATTTTCTTACCTCCTTCCTCCAGTCTTTTCTCTCTTTATTATCCTGCCTTTTATCACCCCTTTTTCCTTTCCTGCAAGGAGCTAGCTATCTGGTTTAATCCTTGAGAAGAGTGGCATAATTTGTTGACTACATTTTGCTTTTAAGATAAAAAAAGCAGGTTAAACTATAAATTTAATCCTAAGAGAAAAAGCATACTGCAATTCTCTCTAGCCCAGGGATTTTTTTTTTTATAATCAGAATAGAGTCTTCTAAAACTGTTGTGCTTGAGGTACACCTAAAATCCCATTCAGGGTAATGGCTGTGACATTCCACAAGGTGAATTCATTTCCTTTACTTATTCTTAAAAACACAGGCTCCTTTGTCTTTTCACATCATCACATGAGATTTAAAATAGACACTTCTCATCACCTATTTTAAGGGTTCTGAATAGCACTGCCTTGAAAAAGCCTGATGGCAATTTGTGTGGAAATTGGAAGTGACGTAGTATCAGATTCGGAAGCTGGGTATTCAAAAAGACTACGCGGGAGACAATGGGATTGCCTTAGTATTCTGAGGATGGAACAGGCTGAGACCCTCTCCAGAACTCCCCCACCATGCTGGCATCATTTCCAGATGGAGATGTGTGGGGGATGGTAGGAGCGTCAAGATCCAATAGAATGTACCACTCATTGAGAATCAGTTATCCAGAGAACCTCCCGCTTCCCCCCTCCCCCTCCCCCTTGCCGCCTCCCCCTCATGCCCCCCCCTCCCCAATGATGGTTGGATCACTGACTCTGTCTTCCTCTTCCTCCCTGCCTTCTTGTCTGTCCTTTTCTTTGTGGCTGGCAGCCCCTGATCCTTATAAAGTGAGACAGGCTTCTCCACCCCTGGCTGTGGGCTGGCTCATTAAGTTGCTCACAAAATTGAGGCAGGATAGATATAATAAAATGACAGGGAAATTACAAATAACTTAAAGACATTACAAACAGCAGATTCAGGAGTTAAGGAAAGCAAGAAGTAAAGCAGTAAGTATTTCTCCATCAGTACCCTTCCTTTAAATGCTGAGTAAACAGAATGCTCAAAATGTTATACTCAATGTCTCTATGTTTTGAGTAATAACAAGGCTTCCCAATGCCCTTCTCTGTATTTTGGTAATAATAAGAACCATCTTTGACCCATTATTTACATATTTTTGGTAATGGAGCCACGTTAAACCCACTTTCTGCATATTTATGAACTAAACAAAACGATTACGGTTGTCAGGTGATGTAACCATTGGTCACATGGTTCTGGCTGGAATTCCTCCAGCTATGAAGGCATAAATACACCTGGCACAGGGACTGCCATTTTGAATCTCTCTCTGCTTCTACTTTCTGCGTATGTCAGGCAGGAGGTGCTCCTCTTTTCTTCCTTACTTCCTTCTGTTCTCAGGTGAATCATCCCAGAAGCCACATTTTGGAACATGAATATTGGAGTCTTTATTATACAGTTAGCAGGCTGCAGGACGCCCATTGTTACAAAGACCTGCAGCCTCCAAATACACAGCTAGGAAACAAGCTAAAGAGGAAAGAAATAACAAAAAAAAATACCAACAAGCCAACTCAGCTCCAATGGAGAGCTAAATTGGTATGCAATGATGACTGGAGACGAGCCAGGAGACAGGACACAGGAGATGGTTATGGAGACACATGTGGCATTGCATCATGGCAGCTAGGCTGGTCTCAGACTAAACAGATCCTTAGAAGGGGCAGATCCACCTGAAATTCCCAGTCCCAGGCACTGGACTGACAGATTCAGTAACCTATCAGCCAAGTGCCCACCCCTGCTTCCAGGGATCCAGGCATACCCATCACCTGGGAGGCAAGTGATGGGCAGGGATTTTCTTTCCACAGCATGAAGACAAGATGCCAGACCCTATCATCCACCATGTGGCCAATATAGCGCCAGCCAGACCTGACCTCCTTACTTCATTTCCTTCCTTTCTTCCTTTTTTCTTGTCCTTTTCTCTCTTCCTTCCTTCCTCCCTCCCTCCCTCCCTCCCTCCCTCCCTCCCTCCCTCCCTCCCTCCCTTCCTTCCTTCCTTCCTTCCTTCCTTCCTTCCTTCCTTCCTTCCTTCCTTTCCTTCCTTCCTCCCTCCCTCCCTCCCTCCCTCCCTCCCTCCCTCCCTTCCTTCCTTCCTTCTGTCCTTCCTTCCTTCGTTTCTTTCTTTCTCTCCTTTTTTAAGTTTTTCCCTTGCTTTGCCCCACTTTTCTAAATAAAATTGGTGCTAAAATTTACTTCTACTCTGTGAGGTTTTGTGTGTGTGTGTGTGTGTGTGTGTGTGTGTGTAACTGTTTGAAATGCTTTTTGTCATGGGTTTCAATTTCCCATAGTTTGCACAGAAATTGGGAAAATGAGTCAAGGATTTCTCTCTACCTTCTGATGGAGGATTGCCCTTTTGTCCTTATTTTTTTCCTTTCTTCAATGACAACCTAATGGAATGCAGTAAAAGTCTAGTGTGACACTTCCAGTCTAAGGCTTTAAGACATTCTTTTATGCTTCTATCTATACTTGTCAGGAGAAGAATATGACATGGCTAGGCCATGACTCCAGGAAAGAACAAGAGACAAGGATGAGAGAAGATGCAATAACCAAGCAAAGTCTGGATCAGACCTCTGTCATCTTAAATACACCCAAATCAGAGTCAAAGATGGCTAGTTGTTAGCACTGGAATTTTAAGGTAGTTGTTAAATAACCCTATAGGAGAACTCCCTGGCTGGGACAAATATTGCTTCTAAAAATGTTCTAAAGATGAAGAAAGAATGTGAATGGTAGTGAGTAGAAAACAAGATTGTGAGTAGACATTCCTTGGCTGAAAACAAAGACAGGCCTTATAATAAGAGCCAACACTGCTCCCTACATTGAATATCCTTCCCCTTACCTAGGCCAAGGAGATCAGTTAAGGTTTTTTCTTCCTTGCTATAATGACCATCCCTGGTATATCCAGCCATTCTCAGTGATGGCAGATGCTTGGCCAATTTGGGAAGCAACAAGCATTCGAAGTCTTCTTTGTCAACACTCTGTGATGACAGGCTGAGACAGATGCATAAAGATGACATGCAGAATGACTAAAGGACCTTGGAGCTCATGGGAGATCAAGTGTGTCCTAATGATACCGCAACCTAACTTCTCCCCTGCCCAGCCCTGCCTCCCTTACCTTTTCACAAACATGGTTTCCAAGAGCACTCCAGAAACCCTCCTGCACGTGGCTTTCTGGGGTCAGAGTCCACCGAGGGTACCTGGACTCATTGCACACAGCTCTCACTCAGCTTTCCAGGGCTCTGACCTGCAGGAAAGGGCAGGAGGCCTTACCCACTATCATGTGGTTGCAGACATCACAGAAGGTAGGCTTCTTGAAGATATGTTCCTGGAAAGCATGGGCCTTGCCACTGCCGGAATGCAGGCCCGCTCTGGTGGGCGTGGATGTCAGGCTTCCAGGAGTGGGCAGAGGGCTGGGGCCAGGGCTGACCTCTGCCAGCACATCTGTTTGTAGCTTCACATCACTGTTGGTTCTCGGGAAGAAGTTGTCAGCACTTTTGCTTCGTAAACTCTTAGTCTTGAAAGAAAGTGATCGTTTTAGTTTCTGGAGCTGCAATGCAATGACAGAACAGTCTCTCTTACGATTGATTGTGTAGATTCATGCTGGGGTGGGGGTTGGGGAGGGAGGTTGGGCTCTGTGTCTTGTGCTCTTGCATGGAGGCCTCAGCCCTCAGGAGCTTTTGCTATGTCCCTGTCTAGTGGGTGAAACTAGCGCCCAGTTGAGATGGAATTCAGTAGCACCCCTGCTTACCCCCCACCCCAAGCCAGTTAACAGAAAGAGGCTCCAGAAAGCAGAGCCTGCCTTTGCTCCTCCTCCCTTTCTTCCTTATGGTCCCCCAGTGTTCTGTCAAACTACCCCATGCATGGCTCTGGATCTCTGACACCATTTGATTTTTGAGTCTGGATAATTGGAAATGATGGACGATCACCTCCTGAGTTCAAAGACAACCTATAATGCTGGCTTTTCTCTTTTAGGACTACTTGGCAGTCACATGTGTCTACACACAACAGAGCACAAAACATAGCTCCCTGACTCAACATCAGTCAGGCTAAATTATCCATGAAACATAAACCAGAAGTTCCAAGTCGGCTTGGGTCTGAAGCACGTGGGTAAGTGTGCGTGCGTGTGTGTGTTGCGTGCGTGCGTGTGTGTGTGTGTGTGTGTGTGTGTGTGTGTGTGTAGGGCACAGTGTTTCAATGACCCCTTCAGTTTCCTTTGACCTTCCTGTGGCCTTGTTCCTTGTCTTCAGCTGTGGCAAATTAGCCCATTTTCCACTTTGCCTTTGGGACCTGTGAGTTTGAAGAACCATTAGCGTCTGAGGTCTGGATTTCAGTCCAATTTTCATTTCTAAACATGTCTTCCCATTGAAGCTGTACACAGATGGGAGCATGGAGCCTCCTGTTTAAAATCCTGTAAGAAGTTCTCCTTTGCTTAGGTTTAGAGAACAGGTTCCTGCCAAGAGTTTCAGGGACTGGTGACTCTGGGCCCTCTAGTTAGCCTGTATGAGTATCAGTTTTGCTCTGTTCCTGCCAGTGACTATGGTCCTTTGGTAATCTCTCCTATTCGTTGTGCTTTTTACATCACCAGCCATTCATACTTGTTTTCCCTCTTCCCAGGTAGAAGTCAGACATAATATGTCACTTCATCTTTAAGGTAGTTTCCTGAATCTCCATGGCAGTCTTAAGTCTGGAATCAATATCTGTGACCAAAGTTAGGAAGATGAGACTCAGTGTTCTATTTCAATAGAAGTCTCCATCCCCTGTAGCCAGGGCTCCCCTGGTAAGACTTTGGTATGGCCTTACCAAACCTCTACCTTCACCTCAACTGGCAATGCTACATCACAGGTCCAGGGGGAAAGGGTCGTCACCAGTGCTGGGAATACAATGTACAGACTACATCCCATCTACTTTCTTGTAGGCCTGCCACTTTGCAATGTGATTCTACTCCCATCCCAAGTGGAATTCATTTTTTTCTACTCCATGAATCTTGTTGGTTTGGAGATTTGGCTGAGAGAAAGTAGCAGCAGCAATTCTAAGCTAGTTCTTAAGAGTAGGGCCCTGTCTTCCATTTGGAAACTGGCCCATTGGTGATATAAACAGTCAATCCTAAGGCAGCCTGAAGGATCATAAGAAACACATGGTTTTCATCACCCCAGGGGATTCCAGATGCAAAGGCACTCTGCCATCTTGCAAGCCTAAGGGAGTCTGGCTGAGACCAGAATTTTGCAGCTCAGCCCCACTGCAATTGTCATCCCATACCCTCGCCAACCAAAGAGGTGATGCATGCTTCAGATCATTGAGTTGCACATGTACTTTATGTATACAGCAATAGGTAACTGACACAATGATTCTCTACTATCATCCTGACACATGGTGGGATGGTACTTCTCTGCCCATTTAAAATTGAGTGTGGTTGAGTGAAGCCAGCCACCTGCTTTATGGAGACATAGTGGTCAGGCCCCAAAAATTCCTCTGAAGAGCCTGCAATGGGCATCATCAGTCAGAAAAGGCTAGTCAAAGCAGCAGCAACAATCTACATGGAACCCTCATCCACAGTGGCCCAGATAGGACTTTTTGTTTTTTTCCTCTGCCATATAGTTCAAACCTATTATAGGAACTAGAGCTGTGGAAGAAGAAAGCAGGTGTGTTTGGGGCGGGGGAAGGATCCTGGGGTGATTTAAGTTTATGTAGCATCAACTCATTTATCCTGACTGATCTAGAGGAGGAGTCATGAGTCCTTGGGAGTATGCTTTTTATTTTAAAGAGAACATTACAGCTCTGAAAAGACCAGGGGAGAACAATTCATTGAGATGGAGCCAGACCAAGGTTAGGACCTGAAAGCAGCAAAGGAGTAAGATAGACCTTAATTACTTGATATTTTTCAGGCTACAAACTGCATGGTGCTGGCCAGGAAGCATAAGTAGGAGACCAAACTAGAGTTTTCCTTTAGGTATATTTCAATACACTTAAGTAGCTATAATGTTCAAGAATCTGCCAACATTTTCTCATGGATGTGCAACTGAGGAAAGGGAAGCTTATCAAAGCCAATACCATCACATGGAAAAGTTATAAGCATTTTCTCTTTGCTCCTCACTGAGTTCACATAAGTCAATGAGCTAGCTATCCATACCTTGATCAGAATAATAATGCAGCACCAGGACACTGCTGACAGGGTCATGGAGGTAGCATATGGTGAAAAGCATTCTGAGAATGTGACATGCTATATACATGGACAGAGGGTGATCGCATATGCATGTGTGTGTGGAGTAGTGGGGAGCAGGGAAGTGTGGGTCTGGGCCAAGTACTTCACCCATTCTAATTCTCGCAATCCTCCCAGTAAGATGTTCTTGTATCCCCAGAGAGTAGAAAGCAAGGGGATGTGTAAATAACTTGTTTAAGGCCTCTGAATTAAAACGGAGGCTCAAAGTTTGATCTTCTTTGCCAATGTCTCTATGGAATGGATGAAGGAAGGAGGGAAGACAGTCCCTGGTAGATGAAATTCTCCCTGCTAGTCAACAAGAGTGAAAAAGGGTGTGATAAGAGAAATAAATCTACTTCTTAGGTGGGGGAACTTTGTTTTCCTCAAGTTGATATGTGGTGTTTAACTATGGTACCTAATTTCTTCTCCCTGGAAGACATAGCTGAAAACAGTATCAGGCTTCTAGGCCTTGCTGGATGCCAGAGCCAAGGACTTTGTTAGCCATAAAATTGGAAACCAATGTAGCATTTCTTCCTCAAGTGGAAAAATTAGAAGACATGTCCACCAGTCAAATAAAGGCCAACATGAGAGCTCAAAAAGAATATGTTATCTCCAATTCCCTTCATTAACCAGATGCCAGAAGGAACATATGAAATACAGAAATAGAAGGAAATTCTGATAAATGCAGATGTCACAAAGGAATCAGCTTCTACAGACCACAATCACAATCCAGTTCCATTATTCACCATAATGGTAAAACTCAAAGATACCCCTGAGTACGTTATTATGTGCTAACATAATATCTTAGCAAACTTCTAAGAAGGGGATCATGTATTCATTTATTCACTAGATAATGCATTCAAAACCTATCTATTGTGGTACTACAATGAAAGAAAGCATAGTTCTCAATTTTGGCGATACAGTGGAGACAATGTATAGTCTTTTTCTTTAAGGTTTAAAGTCCATTGGGTACAAGTACGGAAGGCCATGCCTGTAATCCTAGCTACTCAGGAGGCTGAGATACAGAGGGTCATGGTTCAAGGTCAGATTTTGCAGAAAAATCTGAGAGACTCTATCTTCAATTAATTAGCAAAAAAGCCAGGTTGGAGGCATGGCTCAAGTAGTAGAGCAGCATCTGTTAGCAAGAAAGCTAGACAATTGAGGAGGCCTTGAATTCAAGTCCTTGTACTAGAAAAAAATAAAGGGACTAGATAATATAAATCTCAGTAGGTATAAGTATTATAAAGGAAAGTAAAAGCTGAGTCAAGAAAGGCTTTCCTGACAAGGGTACGTAAGTGTGAAAGAAGTATGGGAGCTATACTGCAGAAGAACATTGTGGGTAATGGGGAAAACCAAGAGCAAAGGCAGTAACAAGAAACCAGTGTTTTTGTGTGCCTGAGAAACACCAGGAGGTTGATGTGTTTGGAGAATAACCAGGGAGGGAAAGGGTGTAGACCCAAGATCAGACCCATGCAGGCCTTGTGGGTTGTACAAGAGCTTTGAAATTTATGCCAAGGATAATGAATTTTGAGCAAGGAAGAGTGATGGGGTCTGCCTTTAAAACAAACAAGCAAACAACATACAAACAAAATACATGGGAGAAGGTCAAGAGGGAAGGAAGGAGACCAGCTGAGAATGAACAGTTCTGATGAGGGGTTAGCTCTGGTTTGACCATAGAGAGTCACGGTAAGATGGTGGAATCTGGAGTACATTTAGAAGGATTTGTTGTGAGACTAGATGTAGACCATGAGTTGTTCCATTGTGTTTGTAATTAGAATAACTGGACCGTCAGAAATGCCATTTTTCTGGAAGGAAGAATATAAGAGAAGAAAGAAGTTGTTGTGGGGGATAAGATGATTTAAGATGTTTATTTGGAATTCAAGAGGAGCTTCCAGGCCAGTAGTGACTGTGGGACTCAGGAGAAAGGTCTAATTGGAGTAGTAAGTTGAGAATCCTTAGCAGATAGATGGGACTTATTGCATTAGGATAGATGATGTCCTGAGATAGATGATGCAGTAGAGTAGATCCTGGAGCAGATTGATCTGAAGATGGAGCCCAGAGATGCCCCATTATTAGAGCATAAGAAGGTTCATAAAGGAAAGCAAAGGAAATTGAGAAAGAGAAGCTACTGAGGAGGGGGAAAACCTCAAGAAAGCAGTATTTGGAACTAAAGGAACAAAAGGGCTCCAAGTAGAAAGAAAAGTCAATAGCACCAAATTAATACTAATAATATCAACTATGAAAGGCTTAAACACTGGCTATTGCATTTGGCAAAGGGAAACTCTTTGGGAGACTTTCAAGAGAGTACATTCAATGAAACAACGTGAAGCCTGTCTAACGGGGGCTCATAA